ATGCACTCCTTGCCCAGATCATGTTTAGAATTCTTTTATCATTCTTGGAATGGTAGCTATTGTACTTTTACTGCTTGGAATCTTAGTAAAAGCAGCAATACATTCTATTGACTCTAAAAACTATGATTCAGCCTTATTCAGGATTATTATTGATTATCTCCATACTTTGATGATTATAAGAAATTATGATCTAAATTGGCCAGAAACTCTTGAGTGGGCACTGGATACTTTTACGATTGTGGGCTAAGCAAATGATAAGATATTCTCAATAGACTGTTATATAAAAGGGAGTAAGAAAATTCTTTCTTAAATTTCATCAATTGAGTATAGAATCTACACAACCAGTAATGGTAAGTAAATTAATTCTAGCACTGTTGGCTCCAGCCGTAGTGTTTATTTTAATGTACCTCCTATGGAATTTGTGCTGTGTGTGCTATTTTACTCGAGAATAAGAAAGAAATCGTATTCAGGGAAAAATATTTTCTATATTTGAGGCTTTGAAGGAAGAGTCCTTAAGAATATCGAAAATGATGCCATCCAAACGAGAAGAGGTATAGAGGCATATTTATATATCTACAAGCGTCATTTTATACTTATCTTATCCTCTTCTCTGTATGAAAGCATTCAGTGTTTTTCAATGCATCACCCTAGATAAGGGAGAATAGTTTTTGTTTGAGTAATTGGACATCCCTTGCTGGGACAAATAACATTCATTATGGATTTCTTTATTAGCCATTCCGACTATTCTGATCTGGATTATTGGTAAAACTGATGTTTTTAATTTTCTAATAGGTGTGCCATTATTTACTTTCTTTAAGATATTTAGGAAAAGGAGGGATTTAGATAAAAAGGAATAGCTATATCACTATGGCTTTTGGTATAATGCTATGAAAGACAAATACTATTACTGGGAGTTTCTAGGGTTTCTCAAAAAATTCCTGTTAATATTAAACTACAAGATTATCACTAATCATAACGCTATTTATAAGGTTAGATCTATTATTATTTAGATAAGTTATAGACTCTTTTGGCATTCTACTTAATACTTTGTGAAAATGAATTATTTAAAATGTTAAAACCTTACAAACTATAGATCATTAATGATTTACACGGTCTTTCTAATCAAGCAATTGTATTTATAAATAATTTTAACTAGTATAGCTTTCAGGTATTATTGGTGGCATACTGTATGTAATCATGGATCTATCAGGACAAGATGATCTATAATTAGATTAGCGCGAATACTTTAAGAAATAAGTCTATAGCCCTTAGAGTTATATGTTCATGTGTTATATCATCCTTTAAAATCTCTACTTTTTGGTAAATTGGGTTCGAGAATATATGATTACAATAAAAAGTGGTATCCTTAGAAAGAATTGGCCTATTTTAATTAGAAGAATATGGGTTTGGATGCTCTATAGACCATTGAATTGGAGAGCATTTAAAGTTGATTATATTGGCGTATTTGAACTCTAAAAGTTACTGCTATAAAGTGATGATGGTAAAAAGAATGATGAGACTTTTTTTAATAACTTGACTCAATAGAACCTGCTATAGACTGAGACATAAAATTATTATACTAGCGAAACAAATACTGCTATAGGATAAGAGAATGGTTATCAACAAGCTTAGAAAAGACTTTCTTTATTGATGGTAGGTGTCTCTCAAAATACTAATTTGATGAATTTTTTCGATGAAGAAAATGGACCTAGTAAATAACTTAAGATTCTTAGAAATTCAAAGGATACATTTAAGAAAAATTAAAGAACAAAAAACAAAATTAATAGCATAAAGTAACCGTAAATTGGTTCGCCATTAAGGTTGAAAAATGATTTTGACTTAAAATATGATGACTATCATTTAACTAATGCAACTAGTTTGAAAGAAAATAGTTAAAAAGAAGTTTAAAATGATGTTGATCTAAAAACGTACATTTAATTTGTAAGAGCCTAAGACCCAAAGAACTTAGAGAGCATAATACCGTATTATAAATAGTCTGAGGGTAATTTAATGAAAAAAATTATAGATTAATAATTCCAGTTTGAGGACATGTAAGCAGAATTTATTCAAAAGTAAAGAATAAGGGATTAGAGGAAAAAATAAAGAAAATTAAAAGGAAAAAAGCAATAAACATTAGTTGAATATTAAGATGGAGTACAAACAACAACCATAATAGGTCATTTAGGCAATCCAAAGAGAGGACAAAGACAACTTCCATAAAAATTTTGGGAAAAGTAAAAAGAAATGCTAGAAAATAAGGGCCTTGATCTTGATGTAAGCTCAGAATCCTATAATATCTTCGATGATAGCAGTGAATCATCTGACAACAAATAAAAAATGCTTGAGAGGTAAAAGACGTTTCTAAGCCGCTAAGAAACTATAAAAAAATAAACTTTAAAACAATCAAAATCAAACTCATCAGAAAAATCATATATTTCATCTTCTTCGTCCTCTTCAAGAAGTCCTAAATAATTCTCATCATCAAAATCCGACAAATCTAATTGCAGAAGTTAGACTTTAAATGGTCTGGACACCCATCTAATAAAAGATCCTAATATGCTATTTAATCCCTCTCCAAGAAAGTTTATCATTAGCAGGGCTAATACCACAAATTTTAGTAGGAATAACACAGCTTAATTTAACAGATCAAATACTGCTTAGTTTAGTGTAAAAGATGATTAATCCTCTAAAAATGGAAATAGTGTTATAATTAGCAGATAAAATTCAAATAGCAATCAGCCAAAAATTGCTCTAAATAATAATAGGAAATTATCTTTTCTCATTCCAAGAAGATCTTCTATGATGTATTCTTTTAGGTTAGAAATAAAAATATTATTTACCTCAATATAGATAAGAGACTATGGTTGCTACTAAACATAAAATTACTGAT